CAATTCCCATCTCAGAATCGAGCTCTTCATTATCCATTTCCAAAGTTAGCATAAAATCTAACATGTCGATCAAGTTCTGCTATCGCTTCTATCTTCTGGTTCAACAGTTAGAAGTTACTCTGTATTTCTATCAAGTTCAAAACTGGTTGGAACATCAATTCATTGACTTCATTATATATCCGTGAAAAGGTAGATCTTTGGACTTGTAAAACTCTCTCCACCTCCATTTCCAGGAATCCTGTCACGATTGCCAAATTATTTTAGAAATCGAGGCACCTACCTGGTACTCGAATACTTTCAAAAAGACCTGGAACAGGGTCGACGGTATTCCGACTAAGAGTTTCTTTAGATCTTGTATTCAATATATGAAATTTCCAAAGACAGTAAATTAATCCCTTTTCTCGTTTCACCTCCTGACATCCATCAAACATAAAATTACTACCCAACAAAATATAGTACAGTGTGGTTTTCAAAAACAATTTCTGAAAAATTGCAAGGAAAAGGAAAATACAATGTACTCAATTTAACGGGCACACTATACAGGGTGGGTCACGGTCGATGGCTCCTTAGACGTTTACGGAGAACGGGACATAAGATCAATTTAAAGATTTGGTTACTCAAGTAATTGCTTTTATCTACAACTATGGAGTCATTCATACATTGCTAACTCGATTTTTAACATTTAATGACAGACATTATTGTGATGAATCGAGTAATAAGAGTAATAATGACAGTAGGATGGCGTAATAATCTGACATCCCCATCGTCTTGTCAAATTCAACTAAGTAGCTATTCGTTCTACTAGTTCTACTAAAGCACACCACTATACTACTGTTTGTGGAATACACGCAAATTCAAAAGACTCACCTTACATGGTTCTCATAGTTTTAATCACCCTTAATTCTACGAATACACGAAAGAATGAGAATTCACTGTTCTTCATTCTCAACAGTGACTACCATCATGAGTAACCATAACCATAAAATAGCAGGACTTGACACTTGACAGTTGCAGATTGGCTCACACTTATGTGCGGGCTATTCGAATAGATTAGTACCAGACCAATCAGAATCATGGAATTCCATTGTTGATAACTAGCGTCTAGAGACAGGTTACTACAAATAATTATCGCGGTGGGGGAATACAACAGCGGAAGCAAGTTAATGAATAATCTGCAATAAGTAGTATGATTCATTTTTCAACTGAAAAGTGAAATGGCATGTAATACCTGGTGAGATTGACTGATTGTGATGATGATGTGATTGCACAACTTTTTTCCTGTTAATAAAAGTTAGATCCAACATTGTTTATCATATTTTCACAATCAAAATTATTGAAATAAGTTATAAGCTGTTCGTTGATTGAAATTTTTGTCAATAAGTTATCGATAAAATTAATGAGTATTTCAAATCAGAATTAGTGATTTTGCAATATACTAACCTTCATTATCAAAGATATATTTCTGAACCGTCAGAGTTGCCTTGATATTTGAATAGTTGTAGATAAAGGATAGTATTCTTCTCGCACATAATGACTATCACCCACTCAGATGATTACAGCACTCGCCTTCGCCTCGTACTGCAACTTTCATCTTCATCTTTCATCTTCGTGGGTAATAGCCATTATGCGCGCTCGTTGAATAATATACTATTGATCTATCGATCTAAAATAGAAAGTAGCAACTCTGTTATTTCAAATAGGACATCATATATATTACCGCATTTTTGAACTTATCATCACTTCCTGATTATTCCTGCCTCATACTATATCCTCGAGTATATCCTATACCTATCTCTAACGGTTTTTCGGATATTGATTATTTTGCATATTTTTTATCCAAAACAAAGCTCGAATTGAATGTTTATTTCTGCGGTATTTGGATTCTTAGGAAGTTGCAATTTTGTGTTTAGTTCATCAAGATTAATGAAATTATGCTGTAATCGACCAAACTTCTTTCTTTTCATTGGTTGTAGATCAGGATATAGCTTTCATTGAATTTTCTGCACGTTCTTGCTATAATTTGCTCATATTTTCTATGAAGAATAAATGATTTCATCAAAACTTCGTTTGAATAGTTATTTTCCTCCATTCGAATACTTTTTGAGTCACTTCCGTTGAGAAACACACAAAGGTATGTAGGTACCATGACATTTAATAGCCACCTCAGATGAATACCCAATCAGCACAAATACGTCTTATGGACGTTTCTAAAACGCCCACTTTGGACATTCAGGACGTTTTGAAGACGTCCATTTCCAGACGACGATGTCTTATGGACGTTTTGAGGACGTCCATTGTTAATAATCAGGATGTTTTAGGAACGTCCATTTTAGGTCCAGATTAGGATCTTTATGAAACCAAGAATGGACGTATTGACGACATTCAGATTATATTCATTGTTTATTTTCTGACCCATGTGAAGAGTGAAATACTTGAATATCAGTATAAATTTATTCGCACCCAATAATATAAACAGAGAATCAGGTATTTGTTTCAATTTCACTTTTCCATATCGTATATCAGCAGCTGCACTACATTAAAAACGTCGCGTGATTCATCCAGTTAACGCAGTTACGCAGACGCGATGATGTCGTCTCTTTCTGATTGGTAGCCTTCCGTTGTCTTTTTTCACTGCATCTGTAAACAATAATAATAATATATTCAATAACATCTGTGAATACCATAAACACACACCCACTTTCAACGTATAGTAGTCAGTATAGCTGAATGATTTATTATTTTTATTTCATTGAAAACTCATTCCGAACATAAACTGATTCTCAGGTAGATACCTATATAACCTCTATAAATATTGCACGAAATATTATGTTTTAACTATATACAGAAATATAAACTTTTGTTGATGATGGAAATTGGATTAGGTAGTGCTCTGCATGAAATCAAATTTCAGAAAGGTATCCAATGTTTTCAACCCTAATTTTGATGTTCATACTCAAGCACCTTCAAGCGAATTGAAATAAAACGATAGGCTCGATAGCCATACTTGCATCATGTTGCTGTTAACACAAAACATCTCGATAGATATCGAGATCAAAGTTCACCAGTTGAAATAAGATGATATCCGCAAAGATCTCACTTCACTGCTTTACAGTCAAATAACTCGAAAAGTTCAGAATATCCTTGGACCTCAATCACAGTGAATTCGGCACTCGGCAGTGGTCAACTAACGGACGCCATCTTTCCATTTTCCATCATCTTACGTTTTCGTTTCACGTAACACGAACAGTGTTGCCAGATGGAAATTTGCCGGAGCAGTAGATGGGTGACGAAAAAACAGTAGAGCATCAAAACTGAACAGTAGATTTCAATAATCATCACAATTTACTATAATAAATGAAAAAACACAGAAAGCTATATAATAAACGAAAAAAAAATATGTTTTGTCTCGATACATATCAAAGATTGAACAAAGAATAAAAAAATCATAAAATAAAAAAAAATTGTGACAACCGTTACCAAATTGACAATGAAAGCTAATTTGTATTAATCAGAGAAAATATGAACATTCCAGTAAATTTATATCATACACCTTCTTACTGTGATGCCCCATTAATTATTCATAGTTATGTCATATCAAAACATAACACAGTAGATCAACTGTTAAAATAGTAGGTCTGGCAACGCTGAACACGCATGCGTTCTACTTATTCTAAACCGTGGCATGTATGAATACTTCAGTGTGGGTTCATAACATAACTATATGAGTAGGTATACAAATCAGTTGAAATTATCAATATTTCAAATTCATAAAAATGATAATGAAATGAAATTCAATATATTGATATAGCTGACATATAATATATTTTTCAAACATCATATTTATTTATATTCAATTGAATAATTCTGATTTCAAAATTAATGAACACTTCCCTAATTATATTTATTGAAACTGAGAGTCTGTAAATTGGAAGTTTTGAAGACGTCTCTTTCTATTCGTCCCGAGTATGTTCAATGATAATGGACGTCCTTGAAACGTCCATAAAAGGTCCTGGACGTTCAGACTAAAAATGGAACTGAAATGGACGTCCTCGGGACGTCCCATGCTATCTGATGGGTACCTATGAGAAAAATAATTCTATGACTTTAGGAAATCGCTCCTATCTCGGAATGCTGGCTACATGAACAGGAACAGGAACATGATACATCTATTCGAAGGGAATTTAGTCATCTTTCAGGATATTTCATAATATACACACAGGGTGTTCCATTTTAAAAAACGTACTTTCAGCCCTTTTTGTATCTAGCAGTAAGATCATGAATTTTGAACGACCCTGTATAACACAGAACAAACTTCTCTCTACAGGATCAATATACATGAGCATATTATTATGATGAACTGCAACTTCCTAAAAATCCAAATACCGCAGAAATAAACATTTAATTCGAGCTACGTTTTGGATAAAAAATATGCAAAATAATCAATATCTCAAAAACCGTCAGAGACAGTACCTATGAGGCAAAAATAATCAGAAAGTGATGATAAGTTGGTATGCGGTAATATATAGTATCCTATTTGAAATAACAAAGATGCTGCTATTTTCAGGTATAAGCGGCAACGCTGCATTGCTGAAAATATTTTAGATCGATAGATCAAGAGCAATTACTAGAGTAACCAAATTTTCAGAATGATCTTATGTCCCGTTCTCCGTAAACGTCTAAGGTACCGTGCCATCGATCGTGACCCACCCTGTATACAGAGCCCATGTATCATCATTGAATTCAGATTTTCATGATTATTTCAAAAAATCCATTATATATAGTCTGATCCACTTGAAAAAATTGCCGCGGACATCTTAACTCAAACGTGGATCACCCTGTATGTCTGATTTTCACCTATAAATGTGGCAGATTATTATAAAACTAAAAATTGACATACCTATTTCAGGATATTTCTCAAAAATGGATGATTTGGCTAAGAATTAATTAATTCAGTAGGTACATTACGAAAGCACTGGTTAGGCAGACGATTTGGCAACATTTTCCTAGCTGGCAGATTTATCAGTTTGAATTCTGTAGCGGTTCTCTAATGTGGTCTTGACTTATTATTGGTTGTTTTCAAATATCTAGATTGGTGTTCTGAACGTAGAATGTTGAAATATCCATCTTATCTAGTGTGTGTGTAAGATTTCCAACTAAACCTACAAAATGTTCGATGATATAAGGAGGAAAGTACGTTATATATTTAATTCATTTCCTTTTTTAAGTATTCATGTATCAATCTGTTTTGAATCGGAATTATTTCAATCTTATTATGATTATTTTCTTGTTCGAGCTTACTCACCTTGTATCAAGATTTCATGAGGTAGGAAATGTAGGAAATATAATGAATGTCGTGTTTAATATTAATAGCACGGATAAGTACCTATTAGTCATAGTTTCGTGGGAGACAAGAAGTGTAAACATGATGAATGCATTAAATTTAATTTCGTTGCTTTGGACATGAAACAATATTTATTAGAAGTATAGATAGGTCCGAAAGGTCAAGTAAAATTGATTGAGTGTTGAATGTAACTATTACTCTGGGTAAACAATATAAATTGAAACAATCGGGTTGATTTACATTTTAATTCGCAGTTATAAATAATTTATTTATATATAGACACTGGACTAGATAGTTTCGATACCACGTTTGTTCCAATTGTTAGCCCATAAGAAAAAAAATACCTACCTACTGATATCGACATTTCAAATAAAAAAAGATAATCTGGATAGACGACTGATTTCATCACTATAAAAACCAGTAGACGTTCACACTAAAATGTTTCTTTAATTTCGTCAAATTTATATCGTCTAAAAACTACTTACATAAAGATTATGACAATGATTCAGAAGTTTTTTTACTCTTTGATATATACTCAGTTATTCCCTTCGTATAGGCAATATTCCATTCAGGTTATTTTTTCACAAATTGAAGTTTTTTCAAATTTCAACATTTTGTTTGTGGATAAAAAATATAAAAATTCAAAGGGAGGGATGTAGTCCTCCACTCCATCTGAAACATCAAAATTCAAGTCCTACTTACCTCAAACGCATAAAAATTAACGGAAAAGGTCAGAAGCATACCAATATGGCACCGGCATGTATATACACAGTGTGGAGACTTTAACTGGAATAAATTCGAGGTGAATATTTTTTCTGAAAGTTCTCGACATACGTCAACGAATTAATGAATTTACCTACCTTTTGCAAGCAACATCGAGAATATATCCCTCCAGGGGTAGCTGAAACCACCTTCAGCATGATTTTTTCAAATGTAACCCCATGGCTTGTGACCCCTCATTGGAAAGCTGGTGAAAAGAGGAATCCAGCGTACTAGTCAAATTCAAGGTTTTCATAGGTTTCAAGGTTTAAATGTTGCAATTTTTTTCAACGTATCAATCGCTCAAAATGTGTGTTGAACAATTCATGGCAATGTTTGCCCCATCTGCTATCTGCTATTGTATTCCAGTGTTATTATAGAGCCGCAAAAAAATTCAGTTCTTTTGCCGTATTCACAGTTCGAAACGAAGTGTTATGGCAAACTAGTGGAAATGCCCTATATCACTTCCACTAAAAGTCGAAATTTTTATGAAAATACGTTGAAAATATATTGAACTCCGAAATTATATTTTGATTTCATGCGACCCCCAGACGTACTGCAAACTGAAATATGATTGGATTCCTCTTTCAACCAGCTTTCCAATGAGTGGTCGCAAGCCATATAGGGTTGTATTTGAAATAAACATGTTGGGGATGATTCCAGCTACCCCTGAAGGGTTATATTCTCCATATTGCTCACCAAATGTAGGTAAATGAATTTAAACGTTGTCTCGTGCCTCGTAATCCCGCCATCTGCTATTGTATTCCAGTGTTATTATAGAGCCGCAAAAAAAATCAGTTCTTTTGCCGTATTCACAGTTCACAGTTCGAAACGAAGTGTTATGGCAAACTAGTGGAAATGCCCTATATCACTTCCACTAAAAGTCGAAATTTTTATGAAAATACGTTGAAAATATATTGAACTTCGAAATTATATTTTGATTTTATGCGACCCCCAAACGTACTGCAAACTGAAATATGATTGGATTCCGCTTTCAACCAGCTTTCCAATGAGTGGTCGCAAGCCATATAGGGTTGTATTTGAAATAAACATGTTGGGGATGATTCGAGCTACCCCTGAAGGGTTATATTCTCCATATTGCTCACCAAATGTAGGTAAATGAATTTAAACGTTGTCTCGTGAATTTTCAGAAAAATCATTCACTCCCTCGGTAGCGAGTTTATTTCAGTTGAAGTCTCCACCCTGTATAGTATCCTGCATGAGTCCACTTGAAGAAATATCTATGGTGCATTACTTGGTTCATTGTGACTAGGATATGGAAAGGAGTTGAAAAATTCAGCTTCTCGTCAATGTTATTATTATTAATTTGGTCTACTTATACCATCCAATAATTATATTGAACCTAATTTCAGTTTGAAACAGATGGCTTCGCAGTTATCGAGCGATTCTTCAGTGAAGCAGAAGTAGAGGAGATGAAAAATGAATGCCGAAATCTAATAAAGTCCATGCCAGGTGAATCGAAACGTACAGTTTTCAGCACAACTGATCCACAAAGTCAACAAGTATGTACAATCACTGAATTATATTAATGGAATGACTGCCTGCTTATCTAAAAATCTGCCCACCTGAGAGCGCAGCGAATTGTGAATTGTCCTCTCAATTCTTCATGAGTTTTATGAAAGTCTTTCGTGATAAAAATTTAAAATTTGATACCTACAACAATGGATTGAGGAAATCCTATAAGAGATAGCAAGCTAGAAGTACCTACTCTTAGAAGTCACCTATAGGTATTATGACAAATGGTACAATACAAATGGACGCGGAATCCAGACGCACAAAATCAACGAAATAATGAGGTTGCTTTCTAATTGAAAATTATAAACAAACTTTCTGGTAATATTGAATTTGTTGATTCCATTTCTCCACATTATCACATCATGCAATCATTCAAGTGCGTAGAATAGGTATACCTAACGTATTATTAATGGGTTCCAAAGAATGAAAAACTAAAATTGATGCGGTTTTAAAAACAACTACAAGCTGATGCAAGTGTAAACTTTAACATCAATCGGAATATAAAAAAGTTATAACTTTTCATTCCAAAAGCAACAATTTTTATTAAGTAGTTAGAATGATAATCTTCCTAAATTCAGGAATGTAACAAAATATGACATCAGTTTGTATAACTTCTCGTGGATAAATACGAGTCGTAGAAAACTCGCCACTGAAATCAATTTTGAAGTCATGTTAGAATTGTTGGAGGAATTTCAGTTACTATTGACGTGTTCGATTTTCAGGCCACGTATCTGCTGAATAAGCTGTGTATAGAGTTGATCAAATTTATGACTCATCGACACTTGATCCAATGACTTTATACCATCCCCAAACATGATCGGCACTATTCGGAAACCCGTTATGTATTATACTTATGTAGGTACTTATGCAGGGTGTTTCACAGAAGGGAAATATTTCAATGGTAGGTAGCTATCGCCGAGGTGGTTCTGAAAATACCATAATTGATGAGTCCTTTCAACGGAGATACAGGGTGATTTATTGATTTCGAATAATTATTCACTGAATTCACTCGTCCATAAGTACTAAACAACCAAGTTCATTCTCCTCTAAATTTGGTTTGGACCTTATACTTGGGACGTTGAATTCACTGACCTATCGGGCGGAATGGAAATCCAGGTTCGACTTTAGGAAAAATGTACATTTATTCGAAATATTAAAAACACTGTATTCGATATTCAACAAAGTTCGTCAACAGAATCGTGAAGAGGAGAAAAAACTGATTTGGATTCAATACTTTTTGTTTTCCCGCTACCAATTCTCGTCGTAACACTCATGAACAAAAAATTGAAAGTATGTCAATTTGAAGGTTATTGAAATTATGAAACCACTTTTAATTATAATTATTCGATATCTAATACTTGAATAATTGCTCGAATTAACTCACTTAGATTAAGTACTCCTCGTACTCACTGCTACCAATTCTAATGGAGACATCTTGAAGCAGAATGTTCAAATTAGGTTAATTTGAAAGTACAAACTATTGAATGACCCCAATCTTTTTTTTTCAATTACTAATACTGACTTTTGCTAGTTATTTACATAAAAATTAAATCAAACAACGTAGAAACTAGTCGCAGAGTTTATATTGGATGTTTTCCGTAATTTTTTCTTAGGTGAAATCTTAGTTTCATAATTTCAATCTCCGAAATGACATGTTGAAATATTCAGTTCGGACACTGACAAACAACAGAAGATATCTCAAGCAGTAGCATTCATCTATAATCTTTATTCTCCAAAATTAACATAATTTCAACATTCTGCTTCAAATTATTACTATTTGAATTGGTAGCAGTTGATACAAGAAGTGCCTAATCTAGGTAGATAAAATAAAATAACAACTACGAAATAGCCACAATGCTACAAGTGGAATGAATTAATGTTGAATAAATACAAAAAGCCCAAAGATATTTCAACACAATGTTCATAAAATGAACAAAAATGGTAGATTTCGGAGGAAAAACAACTACTTTTCTTGCTAATGCCACGGAAAACATTGAATTACATTCTCCCGAAATCTATGCACCGACTCGTGTGAACGAATACTGATACAAGTGATTCTTTCCTGAATGCCTATTGATTTCGATTTAGCCAGGCCTTGCTTTCATATGTCTATGGAGAACGCCTTTGAGGGAATATAATGCCGACTTGTATTTTGTTTGGCTTGATGGCTACGCTTATAGTCGGCGGTCTTAGGACTGCTGGCTGGAGACTGCCCTACACTGATAAGAGTCGAAGAGTTCGAAACTGGTCTGTAGGTGTCTATATCGTGGCCTGGCTACATCGAAGTCAATAGGTATTCAGGAAAGAATCACTTGTATCAGTATTCGTTCATACGAGTCGATGCATAGATTTCGGGAGGATAGAATGCAATGTTGTGCGTGGCCGAAATATACCATTGTTGTTCATTCTATGAACATTGTGTGGAAATGACTTTGAGCTTTTTGTATTTATTGAATATAAAATAAAATGAAATATTCATTGAACCTCTCAACTATCGGTAACAATAGATAGGATACGTCAATGTTACATAAAAGAACAGTTGTGATTAAGGAATTGTCAAATGAGACGAAACGAAATAGTGAGACAAGATGAAACAATTACAGTGATGACTAACATAAATTGAGAAATACTTCGGTATTATTTTAAAATTGAAAAGTAGAATTCGAATTCCTCCACAGTATAAAAGTATTCTCTGACTAGGAGTTCCTGCCCTACCCACAGCCTTGCAGATTATATAGTACTCTTCATATACTGCGTTCTCTTCCAGAATTCCCATTTCATCTCAGGAAACTATAAGAACTCACGATGAAGGCGGTTCAACGCTATCAATGAAGACCTTGCTAAAATTACAGCCGGGAAAACAACAACCTCGTTGAATTCAACGCCACCAAAAGTCAGGCCTGAATTTTTTCTATGTCATGTCAGATCCATTTCGGAAGCTGCTTCACAGAAACTCGGATTTTTAATTCTTGCTAAAACCCTAAGCACCTAACCATACGTTAATGCACTTAGATTTCATCCAGAGAAGAGTCATTTGACTGGTGGGTGATGAATCACTCACTAATTCTTTGACATCATTGAAACACAGTAGAAAAGTCGGTGACATCTCACTTCTCTATATAAATCTCTGCAATCATTCCATCACTAACAATACCAGTCAAACGACCTCGACAAGCCCAGTCAACACATCCCTTCGTCGTCAACCTTGAGATAGGTCGATCAAATCTTTACCAAAACTCGTTTGTATCTAGAACGGTAAAGCTTTTGAATTGAAAGTGTTCCTAAGAACTCAGAATCTCGAAAAGTTACAAAAGATCCAACACCTACATCCTCTCTCTATCCTTTTTAGATACGCAAGATATTCTTCGAACAATACAGTGAGGAGACTTCAACTGGAATACATTCGTTAGCGGGGAGGTTAATATTTTTTCGTAAAACTTCACCTACCTTCTGCAAGCAATATCGAGAATATAAATACCTCCAGGGTTAGCTGAAACCACCCTCAACATGATTTTTTCAAATATAACCCTATGGCTTGTGACCCCTCATTGGAAAGCTGGTGGAAAGAAGAATCCAGCGTACTAGTCAAATGTTAGTTTTTTATACGTTCAAAGGTTGTACAAAATTGAAATGTATTTTAAAATTCAATTTATTTTCAACGTATAAGTAGCTCGAATGTGTGTTGAATAATTGATGCCAATTTTTTGCTACGACTGCTATCTACTATTGTATTCCACTGTTTTTATAAAGCCACAAAAAAAACTGCAGTTTTTTTTGTCGCATTCACAGTTTGAAACGAAGTATTATTGCAAACGAGTGGAAATTCCCTGGATCACTGTCATTGAGAGTCGAAATTTTGATGAAAATATGTTGAATAGTTATTTTTGTATCTAGAGCGCGAAATGCTACTTTGGTGATCGAAATCTGACATTTTAAACGAGGCGTAGTCGAGTTGAAAAAATAGTCGAGATGACCAAAGTATTTCGCGCTCGAGTTGCAAAATAGTTATTTTTGCATCTAGAGCGCGAAATGCTACTTTGGTGATCGAGATCTGATTTTTTCAACAAGGCGTAGCCGAGTTGAAAAAATAGTCGAGATGACCGAAGTATTTCGCGCTCGAGTTGCAAACAAAATTTTTTCTACAAACGTAAAAAAATATAGTTTTAAAGTGAAAATATGCTTAGCTTGATATAAAAAATAGTGTTGAACTGGCTTAAAAGGCCTCCCCCTATCCTCTCTAGGTACGCATGATGTGCCACGAACATAGTAGGAATTTCCTTTCGTGCGATCCAAGAGATAAAACAAAGTTATTGTTGATCGTTCAGAAATATATGATCTCGTGGATGTTTGCTCGATTGAGGACCATAAAGTTGATATTTAAATTTCTCTAATATTTTACATAACAATGCGCGAAGTAGGTTCTTCGCGCACTATTTTACTTCGCGCATTGTTTTGTGCAAGGTATCATGGTAACGTAGGAAACTAAAAAAAAGTGTCACTTCGCAATTTGTTATCAATGCGTGAACCTTGTCATATTTTGACGTATTAATATATTAAACCTCGAAATTATATTTCGATTTTATACGACCCCCAAACGTACTGCAAACTAAAATCTGATCAGTACGCTGGATTCCTTTCTCAATCAGCTTTCCAATGAAGGGTCGCAAGCAATTGCATTTGAAAAAAACATGTTGTGGTTGCTAGCTACTTATTCTGGAGGGTTATATTTCCATATTGCTCGTCAAATGAAGGTAAATACATACAAACGTTGACGTGTTTCCCGAATTTTCAGAAAAATGATTCACTCCCCCAGTAGCGAATGTATTCCAGTTAAAGTCTCCACCCTGTATATTGAGTACCTTCCGTGCGCCCCAAGAGATAAAAAATCCTGTAGAATCATTCATCTGAAAGGTTTGTATTCTTATATATTGCTCTTACGAATACCGAATAGAACAGTTATGAGATCCATGACCATGACCTATATTTTGGATCATGTCTTTCATTGTCTTGATCAGTTCATATATTAAATAACTCTTGCAATAACTCTTGGGCTCACGACAATTAACAATCAACTTTTTTTCAGAATAAAGATGAGTATTTCTTAGAAAGTGGCGACAAAATCAGCTATTTCTTCGAGGCAGGCGCCATTGGTCCCAATGAGGAACTTCTGGTAGAACCAGAATTGTCTCTCAATAAAATCGGTCATGCTCTCCATGAACTCAATCCGGTATTCCGGAAATATACCTTCTGCGAGAAAGTTAAGGAAGCTGCCTTTCAATTGGGATTTGAGGAACCTGTGATTCCTCAAAGCATGTATATATTCAAAAACCCTGGTACTGGCAGTGAAGGTGAGTGATGATAGGATCCCATCAATTACCTACTTATGAGTAGACAATGTAACAGATGAAAGAAATACCCTATTCTGAATGTGACAGTAATAATTGATGAGTACCATTTTGTATTCAGAATATTGGTAGCATAAACATTACTCTAACAGAGCAACCAAATCAAAATAACCAAAAATCCCGGACACGCGTATAGGAACGCAAATTTTTACAGGTGCATGAGTATATTATTATTCAGCCTGTATATAAGCGTTCAAATGTTGGCTAGCTGCTGGCGGCCATATTCTATATTGTAAGATCACAGCTGAGTTCAAGATTCATAGGCGGCCAGCACTGAATGAGTAGAAAATATACAGGCTGATTCACGGTGGATTCATTAGACGTTTTTGGAGAACTTACCTTGATATTAATCTGAAAATTTGGTGCCTTGGATAATTAGTTGTGCTCTATCTATGATATTCTCAGCGCTGTGACGTTGCCGCTTATAATGAGAAATAGCAACAACTTTGATTTTTCAAATGTGACACCCTGTATATTATTCCATTTTCAGATTTTCCCTGAAGAGCTGATTTCATTCGCCTATAACACTTGGGGTCTAACAGTGACAATTACAGATCGAGATATAGTGTGTGAGAAATCGAGATTTTTTCAACTTCAAGATTTTTTTGTGTCGAAAATATCCATAATTAATCGAAACGGTTTTCATATCCCTATCTCAACTTCTTATTTACTATCGAGTATACTATCAATTGAGATTTATTTGAAATAGGTACAGGGTGGTTCAGAATTAGGATTTTCAACCACCCTGTATATATTTCATTTAAATCAATTGATAGTAGATGAAGAGTTGAGGTAGGGACATAAAAACCGTTTTGACTAATTATGAATGGTTTCGATACAAGAAATTCTTGAAGTTATCTCTATCTCTATTTTTCACACCATATATCTTTATTGATATCATTCCCGCTAGAACCCAAGTGTAATAGATCGATTAAATCAGCTCTTTAGGAAGAATCTGAAAATATAATAATATATAGGGTGTCCCATTCAAAAAATCAAAGATGTTGCTACTTTTCAATATAAGCGGCAACATCGCAATATTGAGAATATTTTAGGTCGACAGAACACAACTAATTATCCATTTCAAACTAGTACTGGCAATGGCACAGGCAATCAGACGAAGAATGATCACGTCACTGTGACGTCCCTAATTGGTGATTTTCCGTCAGAGACGTCACACACCAATTTATGACGTCACTTTGACGTACTTTTTATGACGTAATAATCACGTCATCATCTCGACGTCGAGTGAACGTCACTCAGAAGGGTAAAATAATACGTCACCAGTTTCATGACTTTGCAGGGACGTCCTGTCGACTTCCATGTTTCCCAAACTATATCTAAACCCTGTATACTTGAGTACATCGTCATGTGAAATCGTTAGGTTTGTGACGTATCTATATATACAGGATGGGCATTTTCAGTGTCGAAGTTTTCAGAAAAAATAGTTTTTACATTGATTTTACACACATATATAGAAACATGTACGTCTTGGTAATTTTATATAAGTATATGCTTCTAACGTCGATATAACTCATTGGAACAAATCAACATGCAAGTTTTATTGGATTTATATACACCCAAAAAGTAAGAGAAAACTTTTTTTTAACTTTGACACCCTGATGTATATCTCGGAAACCAATCAAGCTAAATATGTATACAGGCTGACTGACAAAAAACGCCCCAAGCCATAGCGCCGCTATTTATTATTCGATTTTGAAAAACAAAAAAGCAAATGAAATGATATATCAGATACTACAAGGTGGCACTAACATTTTTTTTTTAATTCCAACTCTAACGACGCCGATTGTCAACTTTTTTTTCGAATGGAAACATTTTTCAATTTTTTTTCTGATAGAGATTTTTTTCTGAATACAATCATATATAACAAGTTGATTTTTGCACAAAATTAGTTGACAAAAATCAATTCTCCGCCGACAAGAAATGGGTCTTTTCATTACATTGTCTATCGAGTCATTGAACGTAGAGTCCGTCACTTATACAAAAAAAGACATTACGATGTTAAAAAAATAATGATTATTTGAAAATAAAATATCTTAGGAAACTACAAGTATTGCTCAAACTGGCCCCCGCCCTGTTGAACACATAGTTCACACCTTCTAATTACACCATGAGTTGCGTTCCAGATAAAATTAGGAGGTATTTCACGACAAACTTCAATAATTCTCTGCTGCAGAGTTTCTAAATTTTCTGGACGTGATAGATTAACTCGATCTTTAAGATACCCCCACAACCAAAAATCAAGTGGCGTGAGATCGGGTGATCTTGGCGGCCATCGAACTGGTCCATAAGTCCCTATCCATCTTTCAGCAAATGTAGCATTCAACCAATCAACATTTATTTGGGCATTATGAGCAGGGGCTTCGTCTTGTTGAAAGTAAATTCTGTTCTATTTTGATGCAATAATTGGTGATATCTCTGTTGATTTAGTGCGCCATCTATAAAAAATGGACCAATCAATCTATCGCACCAAATACCGCTCCACACATTCACACTGAATCTATTTTGAAAATTCGTTGGAACGATAATTCTTGGATTTTCTTGGCTCCAATAGCGGTGGTTGTTTCTATTGAAAATGCCATTATTAGTGAATGTACACTCGTCGGTCCAAATAATTTTTCTATAAAACGTTCGATCTTGTTGCATCGCATTCAGAAAATGCCTGCAAAATTGTTCCCCTCGATCTCGATCATTTTCTACTTGTGCTTGTACTTTTTGGGGCACGTATGGTATGAATTTGTGCTTCTTGAGTATTGCTTGCGCGGATTGTTGCGAAACGCCAATGTTATTAGCAATTTCTCGAGTAGAAGTCCTTGGGTTTTCTTCTACACTAAGGAGAACTTCAAATTCGACATCCTCATCAAACTGACGTTCCTTTCGTTTAGGTTTCTTGAGTGCTCCGTAGTTTCTCAAATTTCGTTCTAGCCTAGCAAATTTACGACGACCTGGAACTTCTCTGTCAGGGAATCGGTCAATGTATAATCGCAATGTTTGACCACTATTTCTACCGCATTCAAAGTACGTTTGTATCATGTCGGTCAGTTGGTTATTATTCATATTTCGTTTCATTTTGAAGAATGAATATCTTGAGCTGTTTGAAAATATGGAACAAATGTCACACTGACAGCTCATGGCCATAGTTGATTCTGAGACATCTACTGCCACTTCAATGACTCGATAGACAATGTAATGAAAAGACCCATTTCTTGTCGGCGGAGAATTGATTTTTCTCAGCTAATTTTGTGCAAAAATCAACTTGTTATACATGACTGTATTCAGAAAAAAAATTTCTATCAGAAAAAAAATTGAAAAATATATGTTAACATATGAAAAAAAAAATTGACAATCGGCGTCGTTAGAGTTAAAATTTTAAAAAAAATTGTTAGTGCCACCTTGTAGTATCTGATATATCATTTCATTTGCTTTTTTGTTTTTCAAAATCGAATAATAAATAGCGGCGCTATGGCTTGGGGCGTTTTTTGTCAGTCAGCCTGTATACCTATACAAATGATAATATAGGTGCACCTATATTGAAACCGTCACTTTTATTACATTGCAGTGACGTATCTATGACGTCTAAAAATCACGTCGGTGTGACGTACCAATTTGGTGAGCTTCGTCATTCAGAAAATGTTTCAATAATTTGCTATTCAGATTTTTGTTGGGTGAAAAATAATGCATGAATATACGTTATCACACCATGTTGGAGGAAACTTTTTTACGTGTCATCACCAAATTTAAACGTCATGTCGACGTCACAGTTTAGTGAGTGAATGACGTCAATAAACGTGAGTAATATGACGTCATTGGGCTGTGACTTATTCACGTCATTTATCACGTCATATGACGTCAACTCCTGACTTCACCTTGGTCATTCAACTGCCGTAAAAAGACGTCACAGAAACGTCATCTAGTTGCCTGTGGGGTGATGAGTGATGTGGTTTGCTTGAAAGAGATTGGAAATATTTTGTCCAGGTACAGGCATTCATCGATGAGGTTAGTTTTCTTGCTTTGTGTTTTCTGTATTCACTTCTTTGACTCATCTGATACTCACTTGATATATCTGAGTTCCGTGTAGTTGTCATTTTTTACCCCATTCTTCACCTGTATAAGAACAACACTGTTGATTCGAACGCGACCACTATCAATCAGCATTGGGCTCTTTCAACTTGCCACGTCGATTAAGCTGTGTACTGAGTATCACTTCATATCATCATATTATTTGGATATCCTATATTTTTTTCAGTAACCGCTCATCAAGATGCTTCCTACCTCCACACCGATCCTCTTCATCTGGCAGGATTCTGGATAGCTCTGGATGATGCCACTGTGGAAAACGGCTGTCTCTGGTTTGCCAGAGGATCACACAAGAGCGGAGTTCACCGAAGATACATTAGGAACCCCGATAAAAGCTCAGAAGATTTGCTCATTTATACGTCACCTCCAACGTATTATCAAACAAGCAGTTTCTCGGCCTGTCCTGTACCTAAAGGTTGGTCAAAATCAAGCCAGATATCACGCATTTCCATATTGAAAACTTCGGATAATTTTACAAACTTCGAATAATAGGTACTGAGGGATTATAAAAAAAAACTAGAAACTCAGCTGGAAAATTTCTGGCTGAATTCAAAGATCTGATAATATCAAAGTATTAGATGAGGATATAAAAACAACATTAGAGTGAGACCATTATAGCACAATGAAATTAGCTGATCGTTGTCTTGCTACATGCCTCATGATGAGCTGATTTACTATTGAAAACTGTTGAAAACTGTATTTTACTCTAATACTGAGAACTAGAAATATTTCGATAAACATAAGCAATTCAGAAGGAATATTCTCTGGTATATTATGAACGTGAAAAAATGGATACATATGAAGAAATACATTGAGAATTCGCATTTTTTATCTGATAGAAATAGTAATTCTTTCTCGTAACATTAAACAGAAAACAACCACTTTCCTGGTTATATTCCACGACGAATTACATCTATTGTGGTCGAGAAATTGTAATTCAATGTTCGTCAAGGCAATTAGCCAGGAAAGTATTTGTTTTCATTCGAATATACCAAGAAGTAATTAATATTTCTATCAGATAAAGAATGCGAATTCTCATTGTATTTCTTCATATTATGTATGCATCTTTTTCATGTTCATAATATATCTGTTAATATTCCTTTTCAATTCCTTCATACCCAATCAAGGGCTTCAAAATTGAACGATGGAAAATTGTTATTTTCACAGACCTCCAATCAGAATTTCTTTCCGCGCCCTGTGTGATGAATATCAATTCGTCATTCATCTAAACATAAGCAATTCATTTGAAACGTTGAATTTTTATATCAAACCTCAATGGGCTAGTGGACTGATAATGAAATATTGGCATTCATAATTACCCCACGGTGTCGTTAGGAACCTAAATTAATTTTCGCAACACCTCACACGCAATTATAATCAAGATATCAAGAAGATGTTACGAGTCATGTCGTTGAATAAAACATAATAGGAGAAACCCATGATATTATAGGTCATTCTTGACTTTTTCGAGCAATCAGCATGTCCAAATATTTCTTATTATTTATAACAAAATATCATGTGAATGTTGGAGACTTGGCAACATTGTGCTGAATGTTGAGAACTGACGAGACCACGCACATAAGACGTGCGCCGTGTGTCACATTCACCGATTCAAATGTCCTCTAGTGTGAATTGATATACCTAATTATTATTTACACTTCACACAAAATCATATGCAATAAGCCACAAATCATAAGGGAACATTTCGAAAAAATTGAATTCTTATTGCTTATGAGGAATATTATCAATATTCAATTGAGAATTTATGAATTATTGAACAACTAATATTTCTGAAGTTCGCAACCGTATTTCAACACATGGCAGCTGTGCTATGGTCTGCCCCTACTCACGAAATCGTGGAATCAGTTTTTACTGGCGGTTAATTTCTAGCCGTTTGAAAATAACCGTGACATTATTGATGATTTTAGCACCTGAAAACCACCGAAAAATTCTCTAAAAATATGAAATTGAAAGGTATTTGAGTGGTGATTCTATTAAAGAAATAAAAAAAGTTAGTCCACTAGCATAAAAAGGACGCTGACAACCAACCAATGAATTATAATAAACAACTGAGAGGTAACAAGCAGCTACCAGAGCTGATGGATGCTCGAAATAGTTATTTTTGTATCTAGTGCGCAAAATGCTAGTTTGGTGATCCAGAAAAAGTCGAGATGACCAAAGTATCTCGCGCACGAGTTGCAAACAACAATTTTTCAACAAATGTCAAAACATTAAGTTCTAAAGTAATAATAATATGCTTAGCTCAATATAAAAAATGGTGGTGAACTGGCTTAAAAGTCCTTAATTATTGTCGAACACTCAGAAATGAATGATTTCTTGTATCTTTGCTCGATTCTGGACCATAAAGTTCAAATGCATCTCATAATATAATTTACATACAATGCGCGAAGTATTTATTTCGCGCATTGTGTCGTGGTAACGTAGGAAACTGTATAAACATTGTATTTTTCCTTGTTACACATTTAACCATATCGATGGGCTTCTCTTATGTTACTTCCAATGCTCTTTATGATGATGGTCAGTTGAGTATTCATTGAGGGTGAGGAAAGGGAATTTGAAAAAAAAAAACATGTCTACCATGTTGTTTGATATGATTAATCTCGATGTCCAATAACACAATTTCAAGTTCACTAAGTGAATTATACACAGCCTCTCTATATTTTGCTTACGAATATTTATAATTCTAGCATATTATTATATTTCTTATTTTTTAGGTAGTTGCGTGCTGATACATGGACAAGTAGTTCATTTCAGTGAATCCAATAAATCGAAGAAACCAAGGCATGCTTATACGTTTCATGTGGTTGAACAAAAGAATACAACATATTCAAATGACAACTGGTTGCAACCGAAAGAGAGGCCATTCGTAAATCTGTACAGAAATTAACTTAGTTTCCCAAAGACGAAAACGTACATTATTGGGGGAAATTATTATGTAGGTATACTCGAACTACTCGGAGTCATGTATAAAGATGTTAATAAAGAATATAGTCAAACGCTATTGTTTGAATAATCATAATTTTGTTTCCTAGCAAATGTTTAAACAAATGCTGAAGATCATTTTCCCTATACAGAATGACAATAATTGTAAAGCAGCAATGGCTATATGTAACTTAAAAACCAATGAATTTATTTACGAATACAGAAACTCGGTATAAAATTTCAAGGACTAAATTGAGGATTGAATCATCTCCTAGGCATCAATATACATGAATGGAGAAGGGGTTAGACTGGGTACCTTCCGGAAAATGACATTCAAGTATACGCGTGGAAAATTCAGGAGGTGTCTTTCCGACGTCAAAACAAGAAGGAAAATTCCTATTCGCATTTTTCGAAATATTTCCCAATCGATTCCTCAGACTTCTCGTGAGATTGAATGAGAAATGGATTATCGTAATTGTTACTTTCAACTTTAGCTTCGTGCCTTCATCAAAAATATTCGGCAGTTAAATATTGTAAAATAATCAAAGTATATACCTATTTTTCATGGAGCTGAAAATCGCTATCAAAGAACACCTAGAGATGCTGTGATAAGAATATAAGTCAATCCCTCATGGCTCTACTGAGAAAACTGTTGAAGAAACCGTTTGCAATAAAATTTGAATATATTGGTTGGATTCATAAATAAAGTGCTGAATTTGAATAAACTCTTCCCGTACAAGATTCAAATCCACCAGCAACTCATCAGTGAAGACTGCAGAATTTTTTGTGAGAGAATGTCTAGAATATGATTCAAAATGATGCCAGTTTTTTTGAGAACATATATTTCTATTTTATTTGAAAGGTTTTATCAATAGAATATGGCGACTAGATCTCTAGATTTGACACCTATTGATCATTTTCTATGGGGTCACTTGAATACAATGAAAACTCCGCCAGATAATATAACATTATAATAGCACTTTTCGATCTGATTCAGAAACGAATGTGAATGGGACAACAAGATACATAACTAGAAATTATTGCCGCATATACATGGCGCATGACAAAAATCTAGAGTCGGGGATTTTTTTATCGAAATGCCATGTATATTAGCACATTTCACAAGCATTTCTATAACCTCCATCGACCACTGTGACATCATTGACTATATCTCGATCATATTAAAGTTATGATTTTTTTGTCGACATAATGTCATCTGCAGAAAAAATCAATGTCGTCGCAATTTCAGAAATTCACGAGAATATAATCATGATATCATTTGATGGAAAGATGCGTGATATTTCTGGAGAGTTTTCATGCCCTTAAATTATACATGGTGACTGTAAAAGATTTTTTAATTCGGAACTTTTTTGAGAGATTTTTCTCGAGTTTTCCGAATGGAACACCGCTCGGAACTTTGCCATCGGTAATAAAGGCCCTTATAATTCCCTTGATACATAAATAACTGATTTTCATGGATGGACATTATAAAAATGTGGTTTTAAAAAAAACGGTTAGCCCTACGAACAGATTGTACCTAGCATTTTTGTGTTGAGTTGATGTACCAATATATTTTGTCTGAAATTTTTTCTCCAATTCCTATAATGGATACTTAGATAAATTGTAGAAAAAGGGTTTGCGATGGAGGCCGTTTTGTTTCTCGCGCGCAGCACTCATATGCATAATTTCCGAGAGTTCCAACAACGAAATCAAGTTTCTTCAGAGTCATACAAGGATATTTTGACTATTACCAATCTTGAATCATCAATGATCCCACAGATAAACACTTGATAGGGCCGATAGGGGACTACTATGTCAGGATTTGTATGAGTTCAACGTCAAATATTATATTGAAATATGTGAGAGCTAATCCACAATATAAAGGTGTAGCAAAAATAAATGTCTTATAGAGAATAGAGAAACGATTAATGGGCGTCGTTGCCCCACCTACTCGAGTCTGGCTCTTGTGGCGTACGATAATCCTTTGGTCGGGCCGAAAAATGGACTCGCTCGAAGGTATGACAACGCCGCTTCCCATGCACACGGTTTCTCTATGGAAACATTATTCTTGCCATATATGTATAGTTGACCTACCAACGGTAGATGATATGAATTCGGTTGATGGGAAAAAATGTTGTGCATTCGGCAGAGGGTCATTTCAACATATTCAGAATCATTAATATTTTTTCAGGTTAAAAAAAGTGAATCAACTGGTGACCTGCTCGCTTACGTCTCACATATATGGCAGCAATCTATTGAAAAATATGGTGAAACCTTAGCCATGGCACTTGATATCTCCATGGCATTCGATCGAGTCTGGCACCAGGGACTCCTCGCCAAGCTTCCATCTTATGACTTGCCTCCCCAGCTATGTTCTCTGTTGGCTAGTTTTTTCTCAAACAGGTCTCACCATGTAGTGGTCGACGGAGTTTCATCTGACTCTCGTATCATAAATGCTGGTGTTCCGCAAGGATCAATTCAAGCAAAATTTGTTGGAAGCAACTTCATGTCCAGTACACAGATTCGCGGATGAGAGTACCCTCCATACCGCCTTCTCTTCCAACATAAATATGGACTTGGAAACAATTCTCGGATGGGGATCCAATAATTTGATAGATTTCAATGCAAACAAAACACAAGCATGCCTTTTCCATAGAAAAGCCGATTTCACTGTGCCCAACATAAGCTTGTCAGGTGTAACCATACCTTTGAAGACCTCCATTTCGGTGCTTGGTATTACTATGAGCGATGACCTTTCTTGGGAAAATCACGTGAGATCAAGTGCAAAAAGTGCATCCCAAAAACTTGGTTTTCTGTTTCGGGCCAGGAGCTATTTCACTTCCAGTCAGCTGCTTATGATCTATAAGGCACAGATCCGACCTGTCCTGGAATACTGTTCCCATATTTGGAGTGCAGCACCCAAAAATTCCCTGAAACTGTGGGATTCTGTCCAAAAAGGGGCAATTCGTCTCGTGGGTGATGCCTCGCTCACAAACTCACTCACTTCTCTGGAACACCGTAGAAAAGTTGGCGATCTGGCTCTATTTTATAGATATTCTTATAGACGATGCTCTTCTAAAGTATCATCAAATATCTTCCCTTGGCAGTCCCCATGAGATTAACCCGTCGAGTTTAGGCTTCGCACCGCTTTGGAGACTTGCAGAACATTTCTTTCCAAAGATTTGTTCATCCAACGAACAGCGAGGCTATGGAACACATTGCCAAGGCCGTATTCGTAGAATTATAATGATATTATTTTTTCAAATACGGTTCTGCTCATATATTCGGAAATTCTGAAAATTTGTTTGAGTCTAAATACAACCATGTATTATACAAGGTGGTTTGAATATGTTTCGACCCAGTTTTCAGCCACCGACAATATTTTTCGATTCCCATTACACCGAATTTGTATCTCTTACCGTTTTCGAGATTCCCATGCTGTGCAACATTATCTTCGTCAAACTATATACAGGGCTTTTATTTCAAAACTTACCGTCCAGCATAATCTGATCTGCGATGACTACAATTCTCGAAAAAAACGATTTATATCGATTTAGATATTGAGGGGGAATTGAAATAACAGTATCGATTGAATGCTATGTTCATCTTTCTTCACCCCCAGCCACCCCTATGCTGCTGCTGCTATGCTTAATAATTTCAAATATCACCACCTACCTTGAGATATAACTATGATCGCCCATCATTGAACTACCTCCTCAAATTTAAAAAAAAAAACTGGCTTTAACGTGAAAAATTTGGATAACGCGTGTTACGCTTGGGCAACCATATCGGCTCTGTATCCAGTACAGAGAAATTCGCGGGAATCAATTTAACCGGGTGGCGCTCGGTTTTCATCGTTCCATGTGAAAACCACGTCAAAACTGGGGGAAAACAAACTCAATCCTCACTCAATTGACTCAATCCCATTAGTGCCATTAGCTTGTGTACTGTGTACTGATAAGAGTGATGTTTTTAAATTTCTTGACATTAATTGTCAATATTTGATGGAAAACGCTAATAATGATGATGATGTAGATGTTCTTTTGGCAGATATTTTGCTTCATTTAGATGGAAAAAGCCGACCAGTAGTGGAAGGAGAAGCAGTTCTCCGTGCTAATCATGTGATTTTGTGTGAGGCAGAATACTTCAACAAAAGGCACATTTTTGCACTTTGTCTACAAACTTCGGCGATGAAATCTTCTCCACATGAAGTAAAATTGAAGTTGGGGTCCAGATGAACTCCTGTAGAACAATGGATTTGTATTCGTTCGTGCAAAGCAGGACAATCTGGGTATCGTAAACATGTTGTAGCTGTTCTTTTATATGTCAATTGATTTGCTCGTCATAATTAGTTTGAATTGTTCGAACTATCTCCAATTTTTCACTTGTTCGCTGTTCACTAAGCTAATAAAAATGTAATAATGTGAAGAAATTAACGAACTCAACCATCATCACTACCAACAGTGCCAGCACTTTATGTCATTGACGAGTTTGACTATAGCTACAGCAAGTTGAATGCAATGTAGTCTATGCACTTTATCCATAGACAACAGTTTGTTTTCCCCTAGTTTGAAGTTCGTATTATGTAACCTAGATATCGCCCACTTCGTGAATCTCGCGAATACTGAACGCATCTCTCAATATCCTCAGTGCGATAACGTATTGAATTTGGAAGGTATAGAATTTCCTATGAAAATTGAACAAATTTCAAAATTTGAGCAGTTGAATAGGATTTCGGTAGATATCATTTGAAATTGATTGATTGATTTGAAACAAATGTTTTCTCTGTCTCCGTTGCTTGCATTATTTCAGAAGTGAAGTGCAAAACTTGAAAGTCATACTATATTGATTACCGAAGTGACAACCCGTACGGCATCCCGTCAACTCATTAACATCTCGGGCATCCTTCTTGTGAATGAAAAAATGCCGAGTTTTATAAAGGACAAGTGGTGAATATCATGATGACGGATTTCGCAGGCCTACGTTCAGAAATGTACACCTACAAAGTACAGGGTCGCAAGTGCACCAATTCCCACGACGCCCAATTCCCACGATCCTTAATTCCTACGATGCCCACCTTCATGTCGACGATTACGAAGATTGCCGAA